TGAAAAATCCGATCGACTTATAAACAACTCCACAACTAATCTCGCAGAAAGCTGAATGCATATCCGAACCAAGTTTGATGGGGGCAAGGTACACAACCTCTGCAATCGTGGATCTTGCCATGCTCGTTGCTATGGTGGGGCTCTACGAATGAATTTAGGACCACAGTGGTCTTGTAAGGTTTGGGAGTCAAGTACTGGTACTGAGCAAGGACATCTTTTTCGGAAATTGTATGTTCGTCATGAACAGACATTGGCCAATTCGATCAGGCACAAGTCTAAACCTAATATTCAACAGGTTCGATGGAAGAAAAAGATGTCCTGTCTCAAAACAAGCACCTCCAAGAAAGCTCGCAAAGCTTATGGTCCAGAAGCCATGGATGTTACTGATGACGTTTCTTCTGATAATCTCGAAAAACTGAAACAAGACTATTTAAACCTTCATATTCACCTTTCGGAACAACAACGCTTAAACATAACAAATTTGACAATTTTACAATCACAATCTGGTCTTTGGCATTCTGAGAGAAAAAAAAGAATTACAGCATCTAATTTTGGATCTATTGTTAAACGAAACCCGTCACTTCTAACAGCTAAATTTATCCGTAATATTCTATACTCTACATTTACTGGAAATCGTCACACCAGAAAAGGTATTCTTGATGAAGATACAACTATTGAAGAATATAAATTGAAAAAAGCTGAGGAATCCGAAAATGTTTGTGTTGAGCGCAGTGGACTTGTTATACATCCAACTCAAACATTCTTGGCTGGAAGTCCAGATGGTTTAGTTTCAACATCTAAAGGAAAATCTGGTTTAATTGAAATTAAAAATTTGTTACATTCCAAACCTATAAATCTTTGGCAAGCTTCAGAAAACAATAACTTTTGTCTCAAAAATCTGAATGGAAAACTGGAACTTAAAGAAAATCACATATATTTTTATCAATGCCATGGTCTTATCAACATTTGTAACAGAGAATGGATCGATTTTGTAGTTAGAACTTTAAATACTCATCATCTTTTTATTCAGCGAATTTATCGTAATATTGATTTGTGGGAAAACACCATGTTGCCAAAACTGGAAGCATTCTACAACAAAATGCTACTTCCAGAGTTAGCAAGTCCTCGAGAAGGAAAAAGCCCAGGCATTCGAGAACCTGAAATATGGGTAAGTTGTTATGAATACAATATTGTGTGGAATGAGGTTAAGAGAATACAGATGAATGGAACAAAACTAGACAAAAATCAGGCCAATAGAAAAAATTGGATGATAATGTACAGTAAGAATAGAGAAAAATCACCTAAATTATGGTATATGAAAATGCATGACATCCCCATTCAGATCCCCTGACATGAAGTATGGTAACCATTAGTAAAATACGTTTGATATACATGTACAACAGTAAGTATAGACAAAGTGCATTAAAGCTATTTTTTTTCAATCGGATGCCTTCCATCGCCTTATATGAGTGTAAGTTGAAAATATGTATGATTTTCATGTTGATTTTCAATTGAAACTCATACTGGTATCATTAAACAATTATGTTCATGCTATTACGTGTACAAATGTATGTTAAATAAAAATTTAATTTATATTAATATGACAGACATCAAATAATGCTATATAGACTAAGAGATAATGTGTTTACTGGCATATTAAGCATTATATATTTGATTTGTTGGTGTTTAAACTGATCATGAAAGATAAATTGTCTTGTATCATATATGAAAACATGTATTTAAAAGAACTACTTGGTATACATGGTATATGTCAATGTCAGTATGGCAAATAAAAATTATTTGTATTTAATCCTTCTATAAATTAAATGGTAATTGCTTGTGAATATTGCATAAGAGCTTATACAAAGATATATGTATATATTACAGGTATATAAATAAGTCTAAATTGAAAACAACGTTCAAACCCATGATTGCGTTGGATAAAAACCGCAATTTTTATACGTGTGCATGCAAAACAAATTTCTTGTTAGAGGGGTCTAAATACAGCACAAACAACATTTTCCAAAAGACCAAAAAAGTGAAAAAGTATATTTTAACAAAACGCATTTGACTAACAGGTCGAACAACAAATGTTCTTAAACCCTGCTGACTGCCATTGGCGATTGCCAAATAAACGGATCACCGATGTAATAAATGGATCTTAATTAAAAATTTAATACTAAACAGAAAACAATAAACTTGCGGAAAAGATGATATACCGCAAACAAAAGGTGCAAAGGTTTTTGTACACCATATCCGGATTTCGACAATTAATGTCTCTTCAGTGATGTTAGGAATCGAAACGGTATTTGGAAAGCCATACAATTTACCTCAATTTAGGATAGACTCTTAAATTTTGAGGAATCAAAATAGGATGAACGGATCATATAAACCCGAAGGCAAATATAATACAAGCCCAAACGAAAAAATATAAATAAGTCTAAATTGAAAACAACGTTCAAACCTATGATTGCGTTGGATAAAAACCGCAATTTTTATACGTGTGCATGCAAAACAAATTTCTTGTTAGAGGGGTCTAAATACAGCACAAACAACATTTTCCAAAAGACCAAAAAAGTGAAAAAGTATATTTTAACAAAACGCATTTGACTAACAGGTCGAACAACAAATGTTCTTAAACCCTGCTGACTGCCATTGGCGATTGCCAAATAAACGGATCACCGATGTAATAAATGGATCTTAATTAAAAATTTAATACTAAACAGAAAACAATAAACTTTCGGAAAAGATGATATACTGCAAACAAAAGGTGCAAAGGTTTTTGTACACCATATCCGGATTTCGACAATTAATGTCTCTTCAGTGATGTTAGGAATCGAAACGGTATTTGGAAAGCCATACAATTTACCTCAATTTAGGATAGACTCTTAAATTTTGAAGAGTCAAAATAGGATGAACGGATCATATAAACCCGAAGGCAAATATAATACAAGCCCAAACGAAAAAATATAAATAAGTCTAAATTGAAAACAACGTTCAAACCTATGATTGCGTTGGATAAAAACCGCAATTTTTATACGTGTGCATGCAAAACAAATTTCTTGTTAGAGGGGTCTATATACAGGTATATATATATTTATCTTTGTATTTATATATATATATATATATATATATATATATATATATATATATATATATATATATATAATAGGCGGTGTTGTTGTACAAGTGAGAAATAAACAGCACATGATCCAGTGCCCCTCTTGGAGGAAATTAAGAATCAGATGTACTCTAACTAAAGCTTCAACACTTTTTGCAGTGCTTTTCAATATTGTCTTCAAATATGTTATATATTTTATTGGCAAATTGAAATGAAAACTGACACCGTTTTAATACTAAATATTTCATTTACAGTATACTGCACCATTACAATCAAAGCGACCTAGAAGAAAAAGAAGTAAAAGCTCTACAGAATCAGTTAATGTAAGATCTAAGAAACGAGTATCTGAATCATCCAGCTCATCTGACTCTGATATAGTTGACACTGAACTTCAAAGACCTGCTCCACTTTGCAATAGGTAACTTTATCATTATATTTGAATATATTCTATTTAATATAAACATTAAAGCATGATTTATTATATGCCATAAAAGATTTATATAAGTTGTTTACAAAACACATTATTTGCTAAAAAAAATTGTTTATAACTGTAGATAAACTTTTGGTAAAATATTTCAATGAAAATGTATAGAACATTACCATTTATATAAAAAGCTAAATAGTAAGGTCATATAACCATGGAAACAATGAAGAATGATTAAAATGAGAATTGAAGCTTGCATTCATGAAACAGCAATTCAACAGCACAACATAACCACCAACATAAACAACTTTAGGTCATTTTTTTTTTAAATCAATGATATTATTTGAAGTCAATAAAATTGAGAATGGAAATGGGGAATGCGTCAAGAGAGACAACAACCCGACCATAGAACAGACAACAGCAGAAGGTATCCAACAGATCTTCAATGCAGCGAGAAATTCCCGCACCCGGAGGCGTCCTTCAGCTGGCCCCTAAACAAATATATATACTAGTTCAGTGATAATGAACGCCATACTAAACTCCAAATTGTACACAAGAAACTAAAATTAAAAATAATACAAGACTTACAAAGGCCAGAGGCTCCTGACTTGGGACAGGCGCAAAAATGCGGCGGGGTTAAACATGTTTATGAGATCTCAACCCTCCCCCTATACCTCTAACCAATGTAGAAAAGTAAACGCATAACAATACGCACATTAAAATTCAGTTCAAGAGAAGTCCGAGTCTGATGTCAGAAGATTGTAACCAAAGAAAATAAACAAAATGACAATAATACATAAATAACAACAGACTACTAGCAGTTAACTGACATGCCAGCTCCAGACTTCAATTAAACTGATTGAAAGATTATGTCTTCATCATATGAATATCAGGCACAATCCTTCCCGTTAGGGGTTTACTATCATACCATCATAACATATATGAGAAGAACATAACCCGTGTCATGCCAACAACTGGTTTTTAAATAAATGTGTTTAATTCCGATGCAAAGACCCTATAAGTGAATAAATATTAACGCCAAAATATGCAATCTTTAATGACCTGACAACAGTATCGTAACTATATCCCTTCTTAATAAAAATAGTAAGACCTATTAAATTTATGAATTGTCAAGTTATAACATGTTTGACATAAAAAATCACTTTATTCGTTTATTATCATACATTGCTCTTTCTTATTGTACAAATTAAATAATTCAGTTTGTGCTTCCTTACTTTCCTTTCAGGAGAACAAGGCTGCGACCAACCAAATTTTTGGGTAGAAGTATCAAACAGGAATGGATAATCGATGAACAATTAGGTAAAAAAGAGTGGTACAAAGGAACTATTTTTCTGTATTGTCTGGGACTGATGGCAATTTGAATGCTGTTTATGAGATCAAATATGAAAGAGAGGATGAGGCTTATGAAATAAACCATTTAATTCAAGATTATCCGTCTGGATCTGTTGAGTTTTGTGATGTATAGCTTAACTTCAGTTTAGATAAACAGGTACATTACCTAGAAATTATTAATTATACAGTTTGTCATATTTATGGGATAAACCTTAATGTTACAGCAAACCAACAATAAAATAAAACAATGAATAAAAATAACTAGGCATCAAATCAAGGATTGATTTATTCATAAAGCAATATTCAATGAATGACAGAACAAATGAGTAGTGAATCAAATTATTATACATGTTGTAGTTTTTTAAATCTTTTACAACAAAAATGTATCAGATTAATGTGTTTGATAGATATAAGAAAATGTGGTATGAGTGCCAATGAGACAACTCTCCATCCCAAAAAACAATTTATAAAAGTAAACCAATTATAGGTTGAAAGTATATGGCCTTCCACAGGAAGCATTGGCTCACACTGAACAGCAAGCTATAAAGGGCCCCAAAATTTTTAGTGTTAAAACATTTAAGCATATATGTGTAATTTGTCATTTAAAAAACTGTGTGACTTTGTACCTCTAATATAAGACCAGTACAAATACGATTCTATTTATGAAAGAAATTATCACACAAAATTATAATGTTGTTAGCCATAGTAGTTCAAGAAAATGTAAAGTTTTAAGCTTCAAATAAATAACTTTGTTTTGTAAACATATATATAATATAGCTGGAGTGTATAACATGTATAATGTTCACTTTTACAGTCCCCCTTTTTCATTTTTGTGCAAAATACAGTATTTTCCCAGTAAATGTAAATGAATATATTATTAAATGTCTCTACACACATTAATTTATGCTGTAAATATGCCATAAATGAGCATACCATTGATTTATACTAAATGGTCCATTAATGTTATTTTCATTGAAGATGGGCTTCCATGCTTTTGTAGGAAAGTAGTTCCATATTAAATATGTCCTCGAATTTTCTTTAACCTAGCAAACTTAATTCTCTTAATACATACTGTGGGGTGTATTTTAACATCAATAAACAGTAGCTTGTACTTCATTAGCTTTTCCTCTACCTTTTTAAATATTTTTTTCAGGATTTTGGGAACTTGGAAAAACAGTAGAGTTTTTTGAAGCATAGACTACTAATTTGAAGAATATTGGACCTGTGAACATTTCATGTTGTTTGTAAATGATATTTTATGATAGTACTCATCACAAGGAAGATTTTGATGTATAATATGGTATGCTATATAAACTGAATATGTATTTATTGAACTTTGAAGTTGATCTTAAATTTGACTTTAGCGGAACCTTAACTATCTGAATTTGGAAAAAAAAACAATAAATTGATTTATGAAAAGACAAAGAATTACGCCGATTATGGTCCGTGTATATTTGCGTCCATTCGTTTTTCATTTTGAAATATCAAAAACAAAAAACAAAAAACGAGAGTGTTTTCATTTTTCGTTTTTGATTTCTCAAAAACCAAAACGGAAAACAAAAGTGTTTTCATTTTTCGTTTTTGATTTTTCAAAAACCAAAATGAAAATCAAAAGTGTTTTCGTTTTTCGTTTTTGATTTCAACAAACAAGAAAAACATCTACATTTGGATACAATTTCTGTATTATGTTCTATTTAATTCTCGTTTTACTTTTCCTTTCTTTTTTTATAGCCATCGATATTCCGGTGAATCTTCTAAATAATGTAGACAGACTAGACCGCCTGACTTATGACTTGAACAAAAGTGATTAATGAATCAAAGACTTTCAAATTTCCTTGTTTTTATCAATAATAAAATATAAAATTACTATATTTAAATATTAAATTAATCACAAATTTAAATAATACAATGAAAAAATATATAAAGATGATAAAAATAAAACGATTGATTACAACATCACATTAACAAGGGAGGTTACTACTTATCTGATAAGAAAACTAGCCCTGTCGTTAAAGTATGCACAGCGGTTATCAGATCAATAGTATTTAAATCGGGGATAATGTCGACTAATTGAAAAGACTTTATCAATCTGAACAATAAGGATGCATGATCTTTACTTTTAAGTTTGAAAAGTTTGTTATCTAAGATTATTAGAGTTGCATGATGACTGAGGCCAATCAGCCAATATTACACGAACATTCAAGTTCAGCATTCAAGACGGTAATATGTATATGCTATTTAGATTATTTAAAAAAAAAGTTCACACTCCAAGTCGAGGTTTAGGAGGCCATCTTAAGAGTCACCAGGAAGCCGTCCAAAATGCTCGGCAAATTATTGTACTTCCCGCCTTACTTGATTTATATCAAAATATAAAATATGTGATAAAATTGCTACGACTTTTTTTTTATTAAGTCGCAAATCACAAAACATAAGGTTGTGAGACTAATTGAGTTTGATCAGTTTCTAATTATTTTGCCTCAATAATTGGTGGCTTATTTTGTTCGTTTTGACTTTGCGTGATGGCAATAAAGATATTTGATAATCATTCATAACCGTGTACTTGTCGGACCATTTTTTTTTCAAGCAGTAAAGCATCGACAATTAATTGTTGGCAGTATGTTGGGTCAACCACAGAAATAGCCAAAAGCACAGGCACTTGAGAAGCATGTGGCTTTCCTCCAATTTTTAGAAAAAGGGGGCTCTTTAAAAGTGATGAGGCCAATTTTCCCTGGACTTATTTCACTCATAGGGTTAAAATCTAAAATTGGTCTGCACATTGCAAATTGAAGATGACGTTATATATTGTAACAATGTTTTACATATTCCCCTGAAATCAAAATACTTTTCAGTGCTATATGTTTCTGTTGAAGGCATTGTAATACAAAATTGCAAAGGGTTAGAGCCTAATTCTCAATAACTTGTTTTCACTTACAGGGTCCAAAAGGTGTTTTTCATATCTTTATCTTACTTGAATTATAATATTAAAAAGTTTAAATTATATATTTAAAATATCTTTTTTTGTAATTTTAGTTCATTTTTGTGTTTCGGAGTTTAGTGTGACGTCCATTTTCACTGAACTAGTACACATCTTTGTTTATGTGCCAGTTGAAGCCCGTCCTGGTGCAGGATTTTCTCGCTGTGTTGAAAACCTATTGGTGGCCTTGGTCTGTTTTTGCTCTTTGGTCGGGTTGTTGTCTTTTTGACAAATTCCTAATTTCAATTCTCAATTTTATTTTAACAATTGTATATACACATAAATTTCCATAAACTCAAAATGCTATTCAGCGTTACATGTTGCATGCTGTTGGAGACACAAATTTACTTTTACATGTTTTTGTCAAATTTTGCATCGAAGGCCGTCGATAGCCAAAATGAATAAGTGTCCGAAAGACAATAAATAGCTTTACTAAAACACAATTTTGAATTTGGTTATCGATGACCTTTTTATACGTTTTAGGAATTAATACTAATTAATACGACGGACGACAGACGACGACGACGACGGACGCCAAGTAATGAGAAAAGCTGACTTGGCCCATTGGGCCAGGTAAGCTAAAAATGGCCATGGTGTGAATAAAATTCAGGGGGAAATTAGTCTTTCTTTTTAGAATTATTTACAATTATTTAATGCGTTCTTTTTGTACAGTAGATAAGCGACAGCAAATATATACGGAAGCGTGTATGGACCGCGTCTTAGCTTAATATGCATCTCGGACAAGTTAAAAATCAGTGCAGATCAACTAAGATTGAGTTGATGAGAGTAATTGCGATTATATAAGTTGATTTAAAATGGAAGAAAAGAACGACAATAAAAATAGTAAAACGGTTGTGTTTTAACTAGTTTGGCGAACGTTAAGAATAAGAATTGTGTTTTTTGCTGTACATGTTCTGGATGTTCTGAATGTTCTGAATGTATGAATACCCTATATCCTTTCTTTCTATCATGGAGGTATAAAGTCATGGTGAGAAAAATGTCGTTAACAATGAACGTAACGTTAAGGTGGTAACAAACACTTTGACTAAAATTAATTTGGCTCGTTTAATTTTCATTGGATATATAGGAGTTTGACAAACACTAATTTTGATCATTAATCAATATCATTCATCATTAATACAATATCTTTAAAAAAATTCCATAAAACTTACCTTTAATTATTTTTTATGAAAAAAATTTCAAACTATATTTATACATAATTTCTTCTATAAAATTAAAATTTAATTCGGTGTCTATTTTTAACTGTTAATCTACTTACACTTTCTATTAATTGTGCAATACAACTCTGAATTTTGATTGTGATTAAATATTTGACATATCACAGGTTTCTGACACAGAATGGATGTTGTCTAAGAACTTAAATCAGAGTACAGAATACTGAACATCGGTTGACCGCAAGTTCTTGTGGATGGTCACAAGCACTTGTCTCAGAAAAAAAAATCACATTTCTATACCTGAAAGTTAGGTGAAGGTACATAGATTATTTTTTTCTGAGACAAGTTCGTGTGTGGATGATGAATAAATGACAGGGAATTCACCCTCACCGTAATAACTATTATATTGTAGTGATATAATCATTTGTTATCAGTATACTTTGGTTTGTTGTTATATATTATATTAATATTTGTATAACAGTTATATATAATTTTCATCCATTTGTATATCATTGTATTCTACTATTCTAATGATAGTGCAGTGCAAGTGCATGGTGGACACTCTTCTGTAATAATTCGTTTTTCTAATAGATTGGATTTTAGTAGGCATTCATATTTTCCCGCTTTTGTTGCAAAACGTTCTTGAGATATTCTTCCGTATGCGTATACACAAATTTTCGGTATTCTTGATTTGTTATTGATATAGATATAAGAAGATGTGGTATGAGTGCCAATGAGTCAACTCTCCATCCAAGTACCATTTGTAAAAGTAAACCATTATAGGTCAAAGTATAAATGTAGTACTACGGTCTTCAACACCGAGCCTTAGCTCACAGCGAACAGCAAGCTATCAAGGGCCCCAAACTGACTATTGTTAAACCATTCAAACAGGAAAACCAACGGTCTAATCTATATAAAAAAAAAACGAGAAAAACTTATGAACCACATCAACAAACGACAACCACTAAACATCAGGTTCCTGACTTAGGACAGGTGCAAACAAATGCAGCGGGTTTAAACGTTTTAACAGGATATATGTATTTCTCACGTCAAAACATTTTCATATCATTTATTTATGTTCTTATAATTATTTTCAACAAGCGATAAGGAGTGTTATTTTGCACTCGATGATATTCGCATAATTATACGAAATACATTCGGTTATCAGTCAAAAACGCAAGTCACGTGGGTAGAAATGTCTATGGCATCATAGCAACGGAATGCCCTCACGGTCATCCGCTGTAAAAATGAAATTGGATATTTACCTATCCAACATACAAAAACATGCGTAGATTAAGCAATTAAAAGACTCCTTGAATTCAATTTTTGTTAAAATCAAACTTAAATTGATTATAAACGCTTTGGACCTTAATGTGGACCAATTTGAAAACCGGGTCCAAAATCAAAAATCTTATTACACGGTTATATTCGCCAAACCAAAGAACCATAATAATCTATTTTATTTGTTAAAATAAAAAAAAAGTTTAATTTTGGACCCTTTGGACCCTTTGGACCTTCATGTGGACCAAATTGAAAACGGACCCCAAAATAAGAATCTATGAATATACACGGTGAGATTCTGCATATGAAAAACCCCAAGAATTCAAGAATTTGAATTAGACCCCATTTAAATTGGTCAAGAAACGATCAACGTATAAGAAAAGTATTGTTTTAAGCCCTTTTTCCTAAAACGATTCATTTTAGACTTATACTTAAGTTATTGTCCGGAAACCAGAAAATCCTAGTTTTTTTACCGATTTTTTTGTCCGTAATTCTTGAACGTTTTGGACCACAACCCCCAAAATCAGTCACAACATTCCTTATGAAGTATGGAACCTTGTGGTACAAATTCATTGAGATCCATACACTTATAATTAAGTTGTTGTCCTGAAACAAGAAAAATGCTTGTTGTTGGTCCTTAATTCCTACAAAGTTGGGACAATAACCCTCAAATCCATTCCAACCTTCCTTATGTCGCATGAAACTCTGTGGTTCAATTTCATAAAGATCCATACACTTACATGTATACTCAAGTTATTGTTCTGAAACCAAATGTCTTAAGTCGACGACAAACGACATACTTATACAACCGCAAAATCACTCTTTTATGCAAGGTTGTGCCTGAGATGGTAATGATGGATGGCTTTTTAATGTCCAGTGGCAAATTAAATGCATATTCAGGACG